TGCGTTACAGGCAACACTGCTACACCCTAAGTGCGTTACAGGCTATACTGCTACACCCTAAGTGCGTTACAGGCTATACTGCTACACCATAAGTGCGTTACAGGCAACAATGCTACACCCTAAGTGCGTTACAGGCTATACTGCTACACCTTAAGTGCGTTACAGGCAACACTGCTACACCCTAAGTGCGTTACAGGCTATACTGTTACACCGTCAGTGCGTTACAGGCTATACTGCTACACCCTAAGTGCGTTACAGGCTATACTGCTACACTTTAAGTACGTTACAGGCTATACTGCTACACCCAAAGTACTTGGAAAACTACATTTATGTATCTGCACATATTTGTTTTTAAGCAAGGAGAGAAAGTTTTTAAAAGATACATGTTCCTTAATCTTTTTCAAATGGTTTTAATCATTAGGAATATACACCGGTCGACCATTGTTGAGATGTTGAATTGTAAGGATGGAAACTGAAGGACAGAGTAAATATTAAATAGGTATTAATATTTTTTTTTTAATGATTTGTAGCTGTTTATTAATGAACCATGTCAGTGGTGAAATTAAATTGAGTGTTCGCTAAGTCACTAAAATGATAATAAGTTTATGTCCACATTCTGCTGTAAGAAATAGAAATGGGAATTCTTCAATAAGTCCCAGGGAGACGGCTTTTTAACCCTAGGAGGTCTGAAAATATCTTTCGTCACCGCACCACTGAGGTTGATGTTTATATAATTTAAGGTCACTTTTTTTTAAAATAATAATAAAAATAACTGTGAGAACCGCTGATTCTTTTCCTTTGTTCCCTTTTCAGACAACGGATCAAGGCTTGCGGCCAATGTTGATCTAATTAACAGCAGCGTCACAGCGCAGGTCAACTATCAGCCGATAGGATGGCCACTCACGGATTTTGGGATGATCGCTTGGTCAAATCCAGGTCTGGGGTGTTGTCTTAATAAACAGAGGACAGTCCGCTGCCCATACACAGCACCGCGTAATAGTGGAATAATGAATTGCGACTCAAACGGAGAAGAAATCTTAAGAAATTATAGTTTAGTCATGACAATGTCATCGGGCGTTTTTTTTTTGGGGGGGGGGGAGAATAAAGGTAAAACAACAATGGAAAACTTGAACAACACTTCAAGTTATTCTAAAAGTACATTAAAATGTATTTTAAAAAATGTCCCCTGGAGCTTCAGAGTTGTTCCAGCCATAGGACTAAAACAACATGGAACGCCCTGTGAGATACAATGATGTCGTATGACTTTGACTACTGCATTGTTGGACACAGGTATACGTTGACGTTGCTGCAAGTACGTGCTATGTGACACATTTGTTATGATACAGATGACTTAATCGTTGAAGTACGCGTTCTCCCAATTGCCTTACATTTCTTTTCTATGCTCCATTTGATTCTGATCTTGACAAATGAAATGAAATTGGCGACACCGCTGCGTGTATACCTGTGCGATTTGCAAAGAACATCTGTTTCTAGAGTTGTTGTTGTTTTTTGTTGTTTTTTTTTTTTGTTGTAGTTTTTTTTACATTTATTTTATACTTTTAGTGAATTTTTGGAAAAGAGTGTTTTAAATAATATGTTTGATATCGTTTTTCTTTATAATTTTTCAGTCTTGAGATAGGTTTAAATTCATCCTGTAGAGGTAACTCAGGGGTCAGTGAAAGTTATTAGTGTGTCGTATGGCTGTGTAAGTGTACAAAGTTTCAGTTCGTTTGAAGATCTGGAAGAGGGTCCATGCAAGATTTAACCCCCAGAGATCACTCAGAACATCATTGGAGGTCACTGGGGATCTAGTGATCGTGACGGGTTGTACTGTCCTGGGAGATGGTCAAGTATACAAAGCATCAGCTTCATTGGAGATCAGGGAGTGGGTCAAAATTGACCAAGATTTGACAACAAACGACCAACGGACAGAACAAGCTAATATTAGACGAATACATTAATTGTTAGCTCAATTTGAAATGACGTCGTAATTAATGATTGTACTTTATAATTGTTTATTAGTGGTTTTGTTTCTTTTTTTAAACTTTCGATTTTAGAAAAAAATTCAAATAATCTTCTCTTTGCTAAGATTTAAAACAAATTAATTATATGCATGCATGCAATTGCAAAAAGCGGAGTAAATCTAGATTTAGAGATAATTTTACTGTGTGTTAATGTTAAGGGTTATCGTTCTTATTACAGTGCCGTATGCACACATAAGGCTCAACAACTTTTTAACCAACGACAGGGTCCTTTCGCCTGGCAATGTCTAGCTGATGCCCGCTTACAGAGAAATTAGTTTGTACATTCATATTCAAATGAAACATATTTTTAGAATATTTTCAACTAGATTCAAACAATATTCAATAAATTTATCACAGGTCTGTTGCAGAATTCTTGTTAAAAGATGCTGATTTCACAAAACAGAGTCAACGAGTTAGTTGATTGTTCATTCAGTGAACAAACTATAATCTTTTTTTTTAATATAATAAAATATGTTTAAGGCAACCCTCAAAAGGGCTTTAACATTTGAGTATAGACAAAAACTTGTTTACTTTGGTAGTCATGACGACGACCTGTGTTTATTTTATGTAGCTATCCATTCCTCAACCTAAGACAGGCCGGTAACTGTTGGAGGTCCGCCGGACAAGTCCATTCTTAGCTATCGGTGCGGGCGTAACGCAAAGATCCAACAAACTTTGACCAAAGCACGTTTGACTTGATGACTTTAGATTGATTGTACTAGGGCCGTGATAAGGTGAGGTTGGGGGGGGGGGCCCGCCAGGGTTTGGTCAGGCAAATCATTGTATTCCAAATACGTTTTAAAATTCAAACAATGCTTATACCCACTACTCTAAAGGCCTCGCATCTCACACAGTTATAGCTGTAGTGTGGAGTTGTAGGCAAATATCACACAGTTGTAGCTGCAATGTGGAGGTGTACGCAAATCTCACACAGTTGTAGCTGCAGTGAGGAGGTGTACGCAAATCTCACCAAGTTGTACTGCAGTGAAGAGTTGTAGGCAAATCTCACACAGTTGTAGCTGCAGTGAGGAATTGTAGGCAAATCTCACACAGTTGTAGCTGCAGTGAGGAGTTGTAGGCAAATCTCACACAGTTGTAGCTGCAGTGTGGAGTTGTAGGCAAATCTCACACAGTTGTAGCTGCAGTGTGGAGTTGTAGGCACATCTCACACAGTTGTAGCTGCAGTATGGTGGTGTACGCAAATCTCACACAGTTGTAGCTCAGTGTAGAGTTGTAAGCAAATCTCACACAGTTGTAGCTGCAGTGTCGAGTTGTAGGCAAATCTCACACAGTTGTAGCTGTAGTGTGGAGTTGCACGCCAGTGTTGGTTCTGACTAACATTTAAATTTAAATAATTATATCGACCTATTAGAGTTTACATGTGTGTGAGAGTTGATTTGAGACGATTTTATATAATTATGTGTATGTTAAATTTGATTGATTCCGTTGATGAAGAGATCAATATCAGGATTGCAAAAGCAGCAGCAACTATGGCTAAACTGAATAAGCGGGTGTGGAATAATCTCAATCTAACTGATAAAACAAAAATAAGTGCTTAGCACGCTCCTATATGGTAGCGAAGTGTGGACCACATATACCATACAGGAGCGGAAACTCAACAGCTTCCATTACAGATGCCTGCGTCGCATTTTGCGCATTTATTGGCAGGACAGGGCGCCTAACGTGGAGGTCTTGGAACGTGCACACATGTTTAGCATATTATCCTTTCTAATCAAGAGACGGCTTCGCTGGGTATGTCATGTACGGAGAATGGAGGAAGGACGTATCCCAAAGATGCTGCTGTATAGAGAGTTGGCAGAGGGGACAAGACATATTGGACGACCGCGCCTGAGATTTATTGACGTTTGCAAACGAAGCATGAGGGAAGCCAATATTGTAACAAACGAATGGGAGTCCATTGCCGAACATCGCTCCAACTGGCGTACAGCAGTGTTTGGAGGAGTGAAAAAGGCAGTAGTTACTCGAAACGAGGCCCTCAAATCAAAAAGAACAATTCGAAAATCAAGAATTTACCGGGTTTCAACATTCTCCTGCGAGAGATGCGGCCGTGATTGCCATTCTAGGATTGGCCTAGTGAGCCACTTGTCAAAGTGTAGAACTATATAGCTACTCCATCGTCTCACGTAGACGAAAGGATGCCATAACATAACTAACATAACAAATTTGATTGAGACGAGTTTATACTTTTGTGTTTGTTGATTAAGACTATACTATTTTTAAGACAAGCTTGGGGTTGGGGGGGTGGGGGGTTGGATGAGGGTGCCATGGTCGTTTTAGGGGGGGGGGGTGGAGGAGGGTGCCATGGTTGTTACTGGAAGTGGTTGATCAGTATGATTTTTTCACATTTTTCAAATAAACTAAAATAATTTGATAGGCTTACATTATACATTGTACATTATGTTTTGTTGATTAAGACTATACTATTTTTAAGACAAGCTTGGGGTTGGGGGGGTGGGGGGTTGGATGAGGGTGCCATGGTCGTTTTAGGGGGGGGGGGGGAGGAGGGTGCCATGGTTGTTACTGGAAGTGGTTGATCAGTATGATTTTTTCACATTTTTCAAATAAACTAAAATAATTTGATAGGCTTACATTATACATTGTACATTATGCATTGTACATTATGCATTTTACATTACACATTGTACATTATGCATTGTAAATTATACAGTAAACATTATACATTGTACATTATATATTGTACATTGTACATTAAACTTTGTACATTATACATTATACATTGTACATTACACATTAGACATTGTACATTGTACTTTGTACATTGCACATTATACATTGTACATTATACATTGTAAATTATACATCGTATATTATACTCTGTACATTGTACATTATACATTGTACATTATACATTGCACATTGTACATTATACATTGTACACATAACAAACGTAGAGGACATGAAAAATGTTGGTTGTAGAATGGTGAGTTTAAATAATGTCAGTTCCAAAGCTTTAATGTTCCATATTTTGACAGCAGTCTTCTAGACCTATATATTTTTTTTTTCCCGTTGGTGCTCTAATGTAATTTTGAGACGATTCTATGAAACACAAAAGAACCCAACACCACCGTCTAGATCGATTACAATAAAGATCTGCTGTCATCTTCTTCTTGCATGAATTTATTAGTTTATTTTATTAGTTCGATATTTTCTATGAATCTCTTTTTTTCTATAATTTTATGTATTTCCATAGTTGTTGTTTTTTTATTCTTTCTGATATTCTCTTATTTACATCCAATTAATTTTTTTATTTACTTGTTCTTTTTAATCTTTTATTTATATTGTTTGTGTGTTGTTGTTTTGTTGTTTTTTTTCCTGAACGCTACTTATCAGAGATATGATTAGAAGGAAACCCAGAAATCAAATATAGAAGTCAATGAGCTTAATACAAGAAAGCAAGGTCAGGAGGCGTTGGCAATTTTCAGAAAGTTTTATTCCGAATTCAACCTTGACCTTGAGTCTAAAATCTTCCAAGTCATAGTAAGTTGTAAGCAGCAAGCGTAAGCAACGTAGTAGTTTTATGTCTACAGCCAGGGTCAAGGTTAGTTAAATTGGAGTCTTTATCTTCACCAGCCACGCGGCCCCCCCCTTTCTTATACCTTCATCATATATGGACAAATTATACCCAGAACAAACTATCCCCTGATAGTAGTTGATAAAAACCCTCTAAATACTTGCCAAGCTAAATAATCACATGAGACCTAGAAAAAACTACACATCTATTTCAATGCACACACAAAAAGCATTGCACCCGTTAATCTGAATTATTGCCCACAAACTGAAGATCTACTCAATACAGGAAATGCCATATCTAAAGCTTTCGAGAGATACAAAAGAAATATTTCGGTAATTATCTGATAACCATGTGATAATCATCTGATAACCACGTGATAATCATCTGATAGCCATGGGATAATCATGTGACTACTATTGCATAATCATCTGATAACCATGGGAGAATAATTAGAAAGAATTAACTCATGTATCCCTTTCTACTTTTGCCCCTGCAACGCCTCACTAACTCCTGCTGAAGACGACGACCGGCGTAACGGAACAGCAATGAGCAGGAAGCTTTGAAACGATCCAGTGGGTCTCAAAACAGCCAAGATGGTTTTCACGCCATTAGCTCTGTCCGCTACCCCACTATTTCGTCTGTCTCTTTTTTTTTTTTGCTGTACTCATTGTCTTTGTTACCGCCTACTCTGGATCGCCTGACTTGAGATCTTCATGTTTCAGGCACTCTCCTTATTGTTGACTATTGGGGAAATAAACTTTTTAAACGTCCTACTCCCTAACCCAGGGCTAAAAATAAATTGATGATTTTAAAGATTACAGTAGTCCTCAAATGTTTCGTTTGAAAGCGTATTACGAAACCTTGTCATTAATCTTTTTTTGTCCTCGGCACAATTTTATTGAACAAAGTTATACTTCTTTAAGGCAATTTTTAAAAGAAAAATCTAAACTCAGTTAGATAATATCCGCCAAGAAATGCTTTTTTTTTTTTCAAATAAAAAAAAAATCCTATCATATCAGTGAAGTCAGATTGTCAATATTCAAAGCATCGTCCCGTAGTAAGAACGTTAGCATTCTCGTAGAAAGGTCACTCGAACTGTCATATGTCAAAATCGCGTAATTAAGGTCAACCATTACAACATAGGGTCGTGTTGCCTGGTGTAGAGTCAGAGCCTCATAGCGTAATCAGAATCTACAGCGGGCAGACGAAGGCGGTGCTACTTTTACTCTCACACCTGGTGCTGCTGCGGTTGAACATCGTTTCCACCGGGCACCTGACGAAGATGGGGGTGAACATGATGCAGCTGTAGTAGCTGGTGCAGGTCTTGGGGTCGGGGAAGAAACCGTAGATGCGTGGACACACTGAAACCAAGAGGGCAACACATTTGAGTCGAGTCGAATTATGCCGAGTGATGGACGTCACGTGACCAACTCATTAAATCTTAAAACTTCTCAATGAGATACTATCACTATATAAGTTAGCTTTACGCGGTCAGTCAGCCGCACTCGGTTAGTAAGCCTAATTCTGTAGTTAAGCTTTACACTTTTAGTAATATTTTTTCAGTTTTTTAACAACTTAGTTAGATTTACTCACTCAGCTTTACTCTGCTAGCTAGCTTTACTCAGTCATTTATACTCTGCTGGCTAGCTTTACTCAGTCAGTTTTACTCTGCTTTAGCTAGACTTACTCGGTCAGGTATACTCCATTAGCTAGCTTTACTCATTCAGCTTTACTCCCCTAGCTAGCTTACTCAGTCATTTTCACTCTGCTAGCTAGCTTTACTCAGCCAGTTTTACTCACTAAGTCGGTTGCACGCCGTTAGTAAACTTTTCGCAATTAGTCGTATTTAAACACTTAATCGGATTTACGCTGTTGTCTGGTATTCAAAGTTAATCTGATTAACAAAATCAGATTTACACACTTAGCCACATTTACTAAGTCAGATTGAAAGAGTAATCCAATTTACAGTTAGTCAGATTTGCGGTGTTTGTTATATTTACACAGGTAGTTTTATACAGTTAGCTAGATTTACGGTATTTGTTATATTTACACAGGTAGTTTTATACAGTTAGCTAGATTTACTGTATTTGTTATATTTACACAGGTAGTTTTATACAGTTAGCTAGATTTACTGTATTTGTTATATTTACACAGGTAGTTTTATACAGTTAGCTAGATTTACGGTATTTGTTATATTTACACAGGTCGTTTTATACAGTTAGCTAGATTTGCGGTATTTGTTATATTTACACAGGTCGTTTTATACAGTTAGCTAGATTTGCGGTATTTGTTATATTTACACAGGTCATTTTATACAGTTAGCTAGATTTACGGTATTTGTTATATTTACACAGGTCGTTTTATACAGTTAGCTAGATTTACGGTATTTGTTATATTTACACAGGTCGTTTTATACAGTTAGCTAGATTTACGGTATTTGTTATATTTACACAGGTCGTTTTATACAGTTAGCTAGATTTACGGTATGTGTTATATTTACACAGGTCGTTTTATACAGTTAGCTAGATTTACTGTATTTGTTATTGTTGTTGTTTTATGTGCCGGCATTTGAAATTTTACAAAGAAAAGTTTTAAGGTTTTGTTTTTCTCACCAAAAGTGTCTGATTTAGGGGTGACACCGGGGCTGTTGGTCGAAGGTATCTTCGCCTGAGTTGTGGTGCTTGGTGATGATGTGCTAGATACTGCCATGGTCGGTGTCGCTGTGGTTGGTGTCGCTGTGGTTGGTGGGGCTGTGGTTGGTGGGGCTGTGGTTGGTGGGGCTGTGGTTGCTGTCGCTGTGGTTGGTGGTGCTGTGGTCGGTGGTGCTGTGGTTGGTGTTGGTGTGCTTGGCGGTGCTGTGGTTGGTACCGCTGTAGATGTTGACGTCCCCATCGTTGTAGGAGTTGGAGTTTGACTGGAAAATATAAAAAAAGACAGCCAGACATGAATTTTAATTTCTCGAAAGGTAGAAAAGTCTAGTTGTATTTGGTTTTTTTTATCAAGCTAACAATGGAACTAATATAAAAATATATTTCAGAATAAAATAAATCTTTAAGATTAATATCCGCTGAGGTCCTTATGAAGGTCTTGGAGAAATTTTCGTTTTGGGAGCAAAATATTCTGGTGGTTTTACTAAGTTATAATTTTACAACCCTTACAAAACCATGATTTTCTTAATCCTTTTATGCATTTTTATTTGCATTTTTGTAATTTATATAATTGCACGCGATTTATCATGTCCGTGACTGCAGCAACTGATTATTGGTATGGGAATAGTTTTTATCAAACTTACTGCATGCACACTTTTTATTTCACGCCGATGAGTTATATTAATATTCTGATGTCCCAACCATTTTAAACCGAATATTTATTCCACCATATTTTAATTGAGATGATTTCATTTTCTGAAAAGAAAATATTACGCACAAATGCAGTATTGTTTTTAAAAAATATCGTTAAGCGCAGTTATCGGGAATTATATTTTGCGATCTATTGAAGTCATTATTGAACCATATTTTCTTTAAAACATAGAGAATTACATGTAATATAATATACTAGAATAAATGACCGGATGTTATCGGGATAATAATGGTAGGTCCTTTGCGATAATTTCTAACTGCTATTGCACGCAGTTTTAACTGCTATTAAAACACATCCCAATTTATAACTTTTAAAATGTAATGATATTTACGCTTCTAACATCACTTGCGTACCCTACACCTTTTAACGCTCCTAAACTATTTTTCTCCCTCTAAATATGACCTTAAATTACACAGTCTAAATTATCACTAATTGTATCAGTTTTGTCACTAAAGAAGTTAATTGAGGGACAATTACTACGCTAGAGAAATACTTTAGATTATCCCTTGAATTACAACTTTTTTCTCTAAAAATTTTTAAAAACCTAATCTTAAATTTACAACAAAAACTCTATATGTAATTTAAATATATTTTGTATTGCAGAAATTCGATATATTGATATCTTCATAAAAAAGTAAAATACATTTTTGCCTTTTTTTAAATTATACATTATCATAAAATCGTAAAACAAAAGTCTTTTATCTAAGAAGAATCTCGCAACTGTTTTTCACGTCTATATCAGATTTGACTGTCTTTTTAAAAAAATTAAATTGTTAATCTCATAAAAATACACACCTCTTTACTTTTTGCAAAGTAACAACAAAAATATATTTTCATTTTTTTAAAAAGAAACTATTAACCCATCTTCATTTGTCAAAATTTAATTTTCAAGTGTGTAAAATGATTGGGTTTTGATATTCATGGATATACTTATATAAATCTAACCAAGATTTGTTAACGCCATTGATGTTCTTAATTGTTAAATATATGTTTATTTGTAAAAAGAGAGTGTAACATCTTATTTTTTCACATATGTTATATGGTTACGCACTTCCTTCTTTTGTGAGAAATTAATCTTCTATTTCAAATGTATGGCTCGTTCAAACAGTGCCTAACAAAGGACGATACCATAGAGAAATACAATAACAAAAATACGAACCCCAAAACAGTACCAATGACCATTAATAAGATTTAATTTAGTAATAATACTATTACAAACAAAAGAATTATAATTACAAATCATCAACTTACAGAGTATTGGAAAATCTTGTACCGGTACACAGTTGTTAATACAATGTGCCAATTAATAATGATGAATGATTAAAGCGAATAAACACATATGAGCACACAAAGAATAAAACAATTGTCTCGTTAAGTTAAAAATATCTCTCTGAATCCCTCTCCCTCTCCGTGTCTGTCAATTTCTTCATATATTCAGCGTAAGCACTGCCTTCCAGAAGCTACTCAGCATTTTTTTACGTTTCGAGAACCTTCGATAAGAGACTAGAAGACAGACTAACCTTGTTTAATTGGTCGTCGGTAGTAAACATGATACACCAAATACATTAACCACGCCCACAACAAACGCTACCGTCTGCTAGGAATCTAATGTGGGGTGAAACAAAGTTCAAGCACGGGGGAAAAGTGTACCACATAACAAATACCATAGCAGTTAACTCTATTGTCATCCAGGTAAGAATTTACACATCTTATTTCTTACCTCCGATATGTATTTACCAAAGAAAATTAATTATTTATAAAATTAATTCCTTTATTTTGAGGCTTCTCTTGTGCTTCCTTGAGCAAAATGAACATACAAAAATTTGTAAAAAAAATAGAATTTAACATCTCTTTTTTTCACAAATGTAATACCATAGCATTTAAATATATTGCCATCCCGGTAAGAATTTACACATCCTATATCCTACCTCCGATATGAATGTAACCAAGAAGGTTAATTATTTATCAAATTCATTCCTTTATTTTGAGACGTATCTTGTGCTGCCTTGGACAAAATGAACTTACCCATATGTGTAAAAGGAGAATGTAGCGTCTCTTTTTTCACAAATGTAATACCATAGGATTGAAATATATTGTCATCAACATAAAAATGGACACGTCCTATTTCCTACCTCCGATATGAATTTACCCAAGAAATCTAATTACTTATCAAATTCATTCCTTTTTTTCTTTTTGAGACGTATCTTGTGCTGCCTGGGGCAAAGTGACCAACCCCTCCCCACCCACATTTCAATAAATTTAGAAAATCTTCCATCGGATTGTAGAACTTTCCATACCCAAACTAACATATTTTGCACTTGATATGGTTCGTTCGTATTTGTATGCGGTATAAGTTGATTAGTGAATGCTATTTAGCTATGGAGTTGTGCTGCACTGATTGACTTAAACCGCATTTTCTTATTAGAATTATTTTTAAAGGTTAGTTTTATTACGTTTATAAATTTAATGAAAGTATATTTTGGAATCTAAAAAGGCAAAACTTTTTAAATGTAAAAATATACCAAGCAAAAATATGTGTGTTTTTTATTAACAATTTAAAAAGCAGTCAATTGTATTTATTAATTGTACTTCTAAGAAGAGAAAATACAATATCAATTTTGTCCCGCGTGGTTATTAAATTTAAAGAAACCTAAGAGTTTTGGCGAAATAGGCTATTCGCGCTATGACGTCATTTGCGTGATTATTTAAAACAAATTAATTTAAATTTTATTTCGCAATACTAACAACGCACTAAAAGGCGCACTGAAAACGACTGATGCTTGGGCTTTCCCAATAAATGTGATTACGGTGTAATTCATTATCATGATTTTTTTTCTTAAATTTGTTCATTACTTTCAAACACATATAAAATGCTTAAAATAATTCCTTAGTTGATACTTTAAATATATTTGTAATTTATAACAATATAACGTTAACTTTTAATAAAATAAAAGCCGATTTAAAATATTTTTTGCGCATTTAAATTTATTCTATTTCCGTAAAATAATAGAAAATAAATATGATTGTTTTTAGGAATCCGAACGTACTTAAATAGTATCTCCTCTTTGCCGTTATGTAACTGTAGTTTATTCTTATAATATATTTCATTAATTATTTTTACAAACCAATGATTCATGTAGCAAAGGTCTCTTTATTAAATCATGAAACCCATTACTAACACACCATTACTAACTACGCCATCACTGCAGCTTATGCTAAAACATTACAACATTAAAAACGCCATTTCTCGCAGAGAGTCAATAGGACGATGGGAGGTGGGTCATTTAGCCTTCCGAAGATTATTCCGCCAAAAGAAAGTAATAAACACATTCACGAACAAAATCGAAGGTCATATAAATGTTTAAAATACTTACGAATCGGGAACCTTAAGAATCTTGCTGCTTACTCGCCCAAGTAGTGGATATTTTGTCTGTCCACAGAACTGACCAGTGAAATCATCTTGGTCGAATGACCAGACCATGGCTCCCCCCAGGTTGTTGGCTAGTAAGAAATCCATCTGAAAATAAATTTAGAGGAGCACGATAATGTCTGAATAGTTTCGACTTTTTAAAGAAATTTGTAGGAACAATATAAATTAGATCTGAACTTGATCTACCAGTGGCTCGTGACCCCTTTGGGGGTCGAACAACCATATGACAGGGGGCACCCAAGACCATCGGAAAACACATATTTATGAGGAAGAAACGAACATAATTGTATCCTCGTTTTGACTTACAAAGTGGGGATTGCCTTGATCCCCAATGTGTGTCCCTGTCCTCATATTCACCTAGAAAGTGGTGATAACCTTAATGTCCAGTGAGTCCCTCTCCTAGTATTGACCTACAAAGTGTGGATTACCTTGATGTCCAGAGTGTCCCTGTCCTCATATTCACCTAGAAAGTTGTGATTACCTTAATGTCCAGAGTGTCCCTGTCCTCATATTCACCTAGAAAGTTGTGATTACCTTAATGTCCAGAGTGTCCCTGTCCTCATAGGTGATCCAAGAGTTGTCGTAGTAAGCATACTTCACCTGGCCAATGACGTCAGTTTGTATGGTGTAAGGGAGGCTACGGGTCTTCTCGCAGATCTGCGGATGGCATCCAGAGGAAAGTTACTTCAACATTTTCAATGTGAGATACGGGAAGAGATGCTAACTTAGATTGGGAGATAGTCAAAGGGATTCTAACCCAGATTGTGAGATGGTTAAATGGATTATAACCCAGATTGTGAGATAATTGAGGGGATTCTAACCCATATTGTAAGATACGTGAAGAGATGCTAACCCAGGTCGCCTACATTTTTATTATGGATATTTCTTTAGAATGAGTCAAGACTATTCAAGATATCGACAACTCTGTTATGTAGACACCAGCTCTATCAATAACTGTCTCACTAGCTGTATCACCAACTGTCTCATCAGCTGTATTATCACCAAATTTTTCACCAGCTATATCACAACTGTCTCACCAGCTGTATCACCAACTTTATCACCGGCTATATCACTAACTAACTCACCAGCTGTCTCAGATTCATGTTGGATTTTTTTTTAACTTATCTATAAGTAAGCTTTATTTTGAAGTTTTCTTTTAAGTTAAATAAAGTATATACTGTAATTTAAAAAATGGATTGCAACACTTGGTGAGAACTTTGTTATTTTTGCTATTAGGCGTCAAAAGTTCCCAGTAAATACTAGGTCAAAACTTTTTTGTGTCTACTAAAAATGTCACATTTTAAATGTAACTTGGAATGTTTACTTGTTTTATTGATGTCATCTTGTATGATTGAAGTCTTTTTTTGTTTCATGAATGTCTGTTTGTTTAATTGATGTCTCCTTAATTCATGAATCCAGGAATAACATTAGTCTAGGTATCTGGAACGTGAGATCGTTGAGACAAATCGGCAAGGTGGAGGAATTAGTTCATGAAATGAGCAGATACAGATGGGACATCCTAGGTCTGTGCTAAATGAGATGGAAAAACTTTAGAGAAATATCGACCCATGAAGGCCACATACTGTATTTTAGTGGACGGGAGGACACACACGAACAAGGAGTTGGCTTCCTCGTCCACAAAAACATTAAGAACAGTATTATGAGCTGTCGACCGGTTTCGAGCCGGCTCATCACTCTTCGTCTAAGGGCAACACCGTTCAACATCACCATCGTACAGGCGTATGCACCAACTACAGATTATAATGACGAAGAGGTGGACGACTTCTACCATCAGCCACAGGATGTGCTGAACCAAACACCAAAGAAGGACATTCTTGTTGTTCAAGGGAATTGGAATGCCAAAATAGGAGAAGATGCCTATGAAAACTGGAAAGGAACGTGCGGACGCCACTGTAACGCAACTTCAAACGAGAGAGAGAGGTCTGAGGCTCTTGGAATTCGCCAGCTTCAACAAACTCATACTGGCCAACAGATTGGGTGGACATAAAATGTCCAGTAAAACCACATGGCACAGCCCCATTGGGAAACACCACAACCAGATTGACTACATCATGTTGCAAACAAGCTTCCGGTCTAGTATAAACATTGTCAAGACTCATAGCTTCCCTGGAGTTGACATTGGAAGCGACCACGACCTAGTCATGATGACCTTTAGGCTGCACTTAAATAGGGTAAAAAAATAAGGGAATGCCAGAATCAAATTCGACCTTGAAAAGCTAAAGGATTCCAAAGTTAGCAGAAGCCTTCCAAGTAAAAATAGGAGGAACATTTTCAGCGCTTAACATCATAGATGCCGACTGTTCAGACATGGACACATTGATTGATAACTTCAACACAACTGTGAAGGACACAGCTCAAGACATCCTTGGTACACATCGACCAACCCGAAAACCATGGGTGACAGCTGACACACTTGATCTATGTAATAAACGGAGGCAGTTAAAGAAAACAAAAATGGTAGATAAAGAGGGGGCCATTAAATATAGAACACTTAACCAACCCATCACAAAAGGTATGAAAAGGGCAAAGAAGAACTGGATTGAAGAACAATGCTACTACATTGAAAACTGCTTGAAGAAAAAAAAATAGCAAAAAAGCTAACCAGTTGGTGAAAGAACTAACCACTGCAAAACAAGGACGTAGTACCACCATACGGGATAAAAATGGTAAATGAGATGAAATGCCTCAGAAGCATTTTCGGCATCTGCTATATGGACCATACCTCCAAAGATATAGTGAAAGAAAAGGTTCGCCAGGCAATTGGGGAGTACGATGACATACTGGTGACTTTGAAGAAACGCAAACTACTATAGTACGGCCACGTAACCAGGAAACAAGTGCTGGCCAAAGAAATATTGCAGGGCACCACAAGAGGAGGGAGAAGAAGAGAAAGACAAAGAAAAAGAAGAGTGGACAGGACTAACACTGGGCGATGCTGAGCGTAGTGCAGCAGACAGAGACGAATGGAGGAGAATAGTTCACATGTCATCTGTGGCGCCCCAACGGTCCAAGGACTAAGGGACATGATGTTGATGATGATGATGATAATTCACGAATGTCTACCAATTTTATCATTGTCTGCTTGTTTCATGAATGCCTACTTACTTCTTGAATGTTGACTTGTCTACTTGTGTAATGAATGTCTACTTGTTTCATGAATGTCTACTTGTGTAATGAATGTCTACTTGTTTCTTGAATGTTCATTTGTTTAATTAATATCTACTTGTTTCATGAATGTCTACTTGTTTCATGAATGTCTACTTGTGTAATGAATGTCTACTTGTTTCATGAATGTCTACTTGTTTTATGAATGTCTACTTGTTTCATGAATGTCCACTTGTTTTATGAATGTCTACTGGTTTCATGAATCTCTACAAACTTTATGAACGTCATCTTTTAATGAATGCGATAGTATTTTTTTAAGAGCTTGACCCACACAAGCGCTTTAAGCGAAAAAAAAATTTTGACTATAGATTTTAAACTAAAACTTAGACTATACATTATAGATTATAGACCTAACCTGAGATTATAGAATTAAAGCTTTCGATAATACCTCATAATAAGATAAAATTCCCGGCTCCCTGGTGTATGCACCGGAAGCACCGCCACCAATTGCGGGGGAGCCCACAGCTGTCTGGCCAGTAGAGCTCAAGGTCCAGCTTCGGCCAAAAAATACAACTCCGAGGTGCGCCTTTGCGGGACGCAGGCCACTGCTGAGATACCAGTTGATTGTTGCCGACTGAAAGAGTCGGAGATTATTGTCAGTGTGAGGTGTTGTTGTTTTTTTAAACATAAAATCACAGTGACTAAATCGTTTTGAAGTTTTAAATTAAGAAGTTATAAAATGGCTCTTACTACCCCCACTTGGCAATTCAACGTTTTTGAGATTTCGCTGAAGTAGATCTAAGAAGATAATATTATGTTTTTTAGAATAAAATAGACTTACTTTCAGTTCCAGTTGTTAGTGTTGACAATATTACATACTGTCAAACCACTTTGGTAAACAAGAAAATTTCAAGGGGAAAATTCACATCTACATACCCCAAATCTACATAGATACGATGAACCTCCGATCTGCATAGATATCATGATCCACAAATTGACATAAAAATTATGATCCTCAGAAAAGACAGAAAGCATACTTATGATCAAGGTCAATCAGAGCAACACATACCACGTCAAAGTTTTGACCGTCTGTTGAGAACAGTGGTGACGCTAGGCCAGTCTTGGACTCCCACAGCCCGTGATAATCATAAGCCATGATGTTGACGATGTCCAAGTACCTGGCGTAAATAAACAATAGATGCCAGTTAGTTTAGACCATTTTAAAGTACAGGTTTTTAAGCTCTACAAAGTTTTCAAAATTTTGTCTTCAGCAGTGGCACTAATCCTATTTGGGAGAAGACAAAATATATGTAACCTTGTCATGGCCTTAGAGCACTTGTAACGTATTTAACAACATAAAACATCCATATTACGTCATTACTCCTTAAATATATAGAAATCATAAAACATAATACATGCATATAACGTCCTTTATCCTTAAAGATATAGAACTCATAAAACATCCTTAAAGATATAGAAATCATAAAACATTAAACATTCCTATAACGCCTTTACTCATTAAAAATATAGAACTCATAAAACATCCTTAAAAATAAATAAATCATAAAACGTCCTTAAAGATATAGAACTCATAAAACGTCCTTAAAGATATAGAACTCATAAAACGTCCTTAAAGATATAGAACTCATAAAACATCCTTAAAAATAAATAAATCATAAAACGTCTTTAAAGATATAGAACTCATAAAACGTCCTTAAAGATATAGAACTCATAAAACGTCCTTAAAGATATAGAACTCATAAAACATCCTTAAAAATAAATAAATCATAAAACGTCTTTAAAGATATAGAACTCATAAAACGAACTCATAAAGCGTCCTTAAAAATATAGAACTCATAAAACGTCCTTACTAATTAAAGATACAGCACTCTTAAAACGTCCTTAAAGATATAAAACTCAAAAGACGCCCTTTAAAGATACAGCACTCTTAAAACGTCCTTAAAGATTTAGAATTCATAAAACGCCCTTAAAGATATAGAACTCATAAAACATTCTTAAAGATATAGAACTCATAAAACATCCTTAAAGATATAGAACTCATTAGACGTCCTTAAAGATGCAGTACTCATAAAACGCCCTTAAAGATATAGAAGTCACAAAACGTCCCTAAAGACAGAAGTCATCATACGTGCTGAAAGGCATAGACCTAAGAGACGTGAAAAGACATCCAATCTCGAAATTTATTTTCAAAATATAATTCAATGCTCTTATATTATTAAACCTTTAAAATCCTTTAGAAAGTGATAAAAATACGTTGGCTTCACCTGTCCAGTGCTGTGATATTGTAACCCTTGGAAGCCTTCTCTATTCCTGCTGGGACAGCTGCACTGAGAATAAGTCGCGCCCTGTTGGTCACAATGGCTTCTTTTTCAAATCCTTCAATGAGTTCCTGGTGGTGTCAAATTATTAAGTATGAGTTATGTACACAATGTGGTATTTTTGGAATAGTTTATTAATCATCAGCGATTTCTATTAATGTATCTTGATTCTAACAGTGGTGTAAAGGTATATTGAACAAGTTTAACACATCTGCTTTGACCTAATGGTGTTGTTGTTTGTGTTGTTTTTTTTTAAAATCTGGCCAGGAATGCGAGAGCTAATATTTAAAATAAACCGAGAAGGCCAAAGAAAGGGAGGGGGTGGATAAATCCATCGTTGTATTGCCTAATAAAGTTTTGGAATAATGGATGGATTAATGGACACAAGAGTTGATAAACTGAATTAATGTTCCCTTTAAGCTACGCGGCAGCGCAGCTATCTCACAGACGCCGCAAAGCAGTTTTGAGTATCCGCGCAGCAAATTTCCATGTAAGTGTGTGTTTGTGTATGTGGGCTGTAAAATTTTGCACACACAAAAATTGATGCTGTAAAACTTTGCACACAACTGTAGGATTTTGCACACGAACCTCAAACCTTAGAGGGTACATTGGATTGGGGAAGGATAGATGTTCAGATATATAAATATCCTTAAAGTTTTTTGTTTTTTTTAAATAGCTACTGACCTGAATCAAAGCAGAAAAATAGAAGCTGTCTAAATTAGAAGAGTCCCCGGGATATTCCCAATCCAGGTCAAGGCCATCGAAGCCCCAGTACCTACAAAGCGTGACTGCGTTTTGAACAAACTCTGCCCTACCCGCCTGGGTGCTGGCCATACTGTAGAATCTCGTGGACCCATGGTTGTATCCACCCACCGCCAGTAAAGTCTTCAAATTTGGATTCACTGACTTCAGATTGGTGAACTGGCGCCACCTGGTTATAAAATATGCATGCATCGTGAGATGGTCAGATAGCTTGACCACTATGTCTTGTGTGTGTGTGTGTCTCAGTTAAATGTGATTGGGCCTGGCAAGAACAGGATCGTGCTTTAAAAAAAAAAAAGTGGTGTGGATAGCAACATCAGGGCGGCGCCAAAATCATCTAAATAGGACTTAAATAGTGAATTAAAAGATAAAATCCTGTCCACGTCACAAAGACCAGCGGCGACATAATCGTGCTTTACTGTTCCACCCCGGAAGGCACTCTTCAGGCTACGCCCCGTGCCCCACTTTTCCTTGGCACGCCCCTGGTATTGAGATCAAAGTACTGGGCGGATGAAACAGGGCTAAACATAGGTGATAGAACGGCTGTGGTGCGTCAATGGTGAAAGCGTGCGTGAAGCTAGAACATTCTGAGAGCTTAGTTTAGTGTATGAAAAAGCTAAATAATTTGATGTCAAATGCAAATACTTTCTTAAGATGGTCTTGGTGCTTAGTAAATAGGGTGGGTGGGTGGGTGAGTGGGGGGGGGCGTTAATGTTTGAGTAGTCTGTGGTTTTAATTCAAAATAAAAGAAATTGTTCAATAACCCTGTCAACTGCCAACATTCGTGTATCGAGCGTTACAAACGACATGCATTTTTAAACGACCTGTTTTGAATGGACCAGTATGAAACTGGAACTTGTGAATGCAGTTTAATCGTTTTATTTTTAGTACTTACATAACAGCGTCAGGTGGTAGTTTTACTGAAAGTTTGTGGAGGCAGTTTTACTGCCCATTTGTCTGGAGGCAACACCAATAACCTGATACTTATTATCCATTTGACTAGACGCCAACAGCAATAATCGGATACTTACTGCCCATTTGTCTGGTCATCAGTCGGCTCGTACCCGATGATCTTGTTGCCTGAGAGCTGGGCAAAAGCGAAGACAATGTGTGAGCAGAGCTGGGGGTCAATGTCCTTCACCAGCTGTGCCCCTAACCCTGGTCGGTACTGGGCCCAGTTAGTAAAGTAACAGACGACATTCTTGGCAGCGTTCGGTGCTGAGGACATAATTAGAGTTGACATAAATAATGGGGACATATTAATGGACAAGTAAATTGATCAATGTTATTTGGGGGTGGGGGTCTGCGATGAAAGCTAATTTATGAATTTGAGAAGTGTGTGTGTGTGTGTTTTTGTGTTTGTGTGTGTGTATGTTTGTTTGTTTGTCTGTGTGTTTGTGGGGGAGGGGGGGGGGAGGCGGCTACGCGATGAATACAAA